GAGGAGTCCACCTGGTGGGCTAGATCAACAAAGCCCGGTATATCATTTTGAACCTCCTCCCCTGATTCTCCTAAAATGAAATCACGGGAGTGCTTGGGGCACCAGGCGGCACGTTAGACAATTCACTGATAGGCGCATAGAAGGAAGAGCCGTCTAAATTTGTCACCCTTGTGGTTCTCTTTGTTCTGGCCATGGTGTCCTGCACAAACACATAGACAGTCGGACTTGGGGCAGTTCGCAAAGGGTGATTCAGCAAGGGGCAGTCGACACTCCTAGTTCTAGATTCAGCCATCCCCGGTGACCAGCTGATTACTAACCTAGGCCGTGCCGCGTGCTTTTGGGAAACCATTTTCAAAAAAGAAAGAGAAACAAAGAGAAAATGCAAAATAAAGCAAGCGGTTACCTTTAAGAAAAGAAGACTGAAGTTCTTGAGAAACGGGCGGCTGTTTGAGCAGCCGGTCCAAAAGCAAGCGACAGTTGTCCAAAATGTCAGAGCTTTTGAGTCAAAAATTTCCCCTGAAAAAAAGTTCTAGAATGTCCAAATGATTTGGACACCCCCTATTTATAGGGGGAGAATTTCAAGGGTAAAAAAAAAAAGGTAAAAAACCGTTAGCCAATCATAGCGTGACACCTGTCACAGGCGCCACATGGCATGCCACGTCACCCTATGAGGGGCAAATGATTAGTAGATTTCTCCCGCCACGTGGACCAATTAAACTCTACCACGTGTCATCCACGTGGACCAACTAGAGCCCGCCACGTGTCACCTCGTGAGAGGTCCAAGGTGGACCAACCAGGCCACGACACGTGGCAGGTAGATTGCCAACTGGGAAAGTGGTCTTTAAGGGCCCAAATACCTTGGCAAGCCCAGTCAGTCATAGGTATTTGAAAACCTAGTACTGGGCACATATTTCCAAACCCTATAAAAGGGAGATATTCCCTCTGAGAAACAGCATTCAGAAATCCTTAAACACACGCGTACATTAATTGCTGAGCATTAACTCCAGCTTTAATTGCGCTACTTGAGAGCTAAGGCTCAGATTCCGAGACTGTCTCAGACACTCGGATGATCACTCCCCTTCCGAGAGGAGCCTGATCCCTTTTACTTTCCGCATCTTTACTTCCGAACACGTTCTAACTTGATCGTCGGAGGCGGAACTCCCACCCACATGAGTCTCCGTTATTTTGCAGGTACAAGTGTCCAGAGGTCAGTCTTGGTGTTGTAACTCTCCCGCAGGACTTAAAAAAACCCCCAAAAAAATATCATATATATGATTTAAATAGATAATTATGTGATATTGAGAAATTATATCAAGAGATATTACCCTCAACATATTTAATGTTGGCTTCTTCCTTTAATTTTTTAATTTTTACATGTTTTTATTATTAAATTTAGAAAAATTTGTAATTTACCACCTATAAAGCCCACCTATAATATTTTACCACTAAAAAAAAAATTTAAATACCATCCAAAAAAAGACAAAAAATTTAGATTTTACCACAAAATTTGTGAAATCTAACGTTATTAAATATTCATCGATTTTCGTGCCAAAAACATACTCTTTAGAGATTTTGGGGGTCTTTTTGCCATTTGATTTCGATTTGAGGCTAAAATTTTCAAAGAATTATGGAAAATGCCTCACATTGTATGTTGAGCAAATCGCGATATTCTTAGTACAAAAAGAGGCATTTCCAATTATTTTTTGTAAATTTTAGCCTTAAATCGTATATAATTGACAAAGCTGAGCGCCAAAACCTCCAAAAATCATGTTTTTGGCACGAAAATCGAAGAATTTTCTTTTATCTTTCTATAAAACGTTAGATTTAACAATTTTCTTAACTGAAAGTGTTAAATGCTGGTGGAATTTTTTTTGTCTTTTTTGGGCGATATTTCAAATTATATTTTTATTTGGTAATAATTTCGAAAAATGGGTTTTTGTGGATGGTAAAATACAAATTTTCCTTAATTTTAATATCATTTCGATTAATTAAAAATTAGATGTGATTTGGTGATGATTTAAATGATGTGGTAGAAATGCTATTGCTAAAAATAATGCTGTAAATAATGTTCGATAAACAAAATTGAAAATAAATAGCAAAGAAAGCTTGAAAAATAAGATATATCTAATATAAGGCAAAAATAAATTAGTCAAAAGATTATTCCATCTTGTTTGATTAATTAAAAATTAGATGTGCATGCTATAGGACAACCTAAGCTAATGCAATGACTCATTCATGTCGTTGCAATAGCAGGATCTAAAGTAATGACATGTTCAAAATCGTTGCATTACCTATAGAACAACTATTGAGATTAGAGGTGTCGATTTGGATAACCGGATAGAATTTGGGTCGAGTCTGTTTGGATCGGGTATATTTGGTTCAAAATTACCCTTTTAACCCGCCTCGGGTCGGATCGGGTCACTTTCGGGTCAGATCAAATTCAGATTAAGATATGTCGGGTCCAGATCAGGTTTGAATCGAGTCAAATTCAGATCAGTTCATATTCGGTTCGGATAAATTCGGATCGGGTTCAAAACGGGTTTAATCGGGTTAATTTCGGGTTGATGACTTTGTATCGGGTTGGTTATGGTTCAGTTGATTTTAGTTCTGTTAAATTCGACTTGAATACTAAGGTTGATTCAGTATTCGGTCAATTTTAATTCAGATACTTTTCATGTTTGGCTGAATTTTGGTTGACCAAATTTAATATTCAGATAAGAACATTTTTAAAACTAGAGTAATTATTGAGTTTTTTTTTTTTTAGGTTGATATCAAGTCATTCACGTGTAGTTTTTCCATATCGTGTCATTAACATATGTTTAAGTAAAAAAAAAAAAGGTAAATAATAGGTTGGGTTTAAAATTATGGTTGGTTTAAAATCATGTCAAGTCAAATTCAAAATCGAGTTAAAATCGGGTTGGGTTAATATCAGTCGGATCAAAAACAGTTTGGATTGAATCGGGTATTTGTCGGGTCAATTTCGGTTCAGATTGCGTTCAGGTCGGGTCAAATTGGTGTCGGGTTAAGTTCAAATCGGGTCAAATTAGATTCGTGTTGATTTCAATTCTGTTACATATCGGGTTTAGATCTTGAATTTCTCGGATCAAATCGGATCAGTTCGTTTTGACACCTCTAATTGAGATATTAGTTATCATTGACAATATAGTGAAAAAGATCTCAGTAAGAAATTTTTCTTATTCCAGTAGTTGATATATATTTTTGGTGTTGAGAGAGTCACAAGAACGAGTGATGATCATAAGTTCCAAATTTATATAGCATCGAAAGGGAAGCTCCAACCACGAGAGATATTCCTCACTCTCTCCTGTAGTTGATATATAGAGCCACAAACAACGCCCACAAGTCACAAGTAGGTAAGAGCTGCATATTAGAATACAAAGGACCTTAAAAAGCAAGTGTCATTAAAAAGATATTTGTCGTTTCCATGTGTAGTGAAGCTCCGCCCCCCAAAATTAAATTTGGGTATTCATTAAATAAAATTTTGCTTTCAAAGGATACATACAACAGTACAAATAAGAAATAAGGCTCAGAAAGGCTGTTAGAGATCATTATCAAAGCCTGCATATTGGAGTGTGGGTCTGAGTTGGTTGAAAGGAAAAGATCCATCTTATATATACATCACATATATATTCTCCTTTTCTACACTGTTCATCTATCATGCTTATCTAATCATTTTTTTTTAATTATCACCCAACACTTCGGCACATTTCCTGGTCACATTAATTACTTACTTGTACTGCTTAATTAAACATAATATAGTTGAGCATCTCTGTATGATCGTACATATATTCATCAATCCTTGTGAGAAAGAGGAAAATATGTAACATTACAGTGTCAAAAATTAAAACGCGATAACTAAATAAAATGTAAAATGAATACATGATGAAGCTTATGGCTATATTTGATAAAGCTTGGGTTCTATTCTTTGAACTTATCTGCAATGCAATGTGATGTAATTCAGTTTAGTTTATTTTAGTTTATATCACTTCAGTTCAAATCGTTTCAATTAAATTTACTTTAGTTTGGTTCAATTTAACAGTTTTATTAAAAAAAAAGGGCCCTTAGTTTATGTAAAGGAATACTTGCTTATCAAGAAATGAACTTATCTTTCCAAATCTTTTACTTTGCATCTTTTATCATTAAAAATATTTGATTTAATAATTGAAACAACTTTGAAAATTTAAATTTGGAAAGTAAACATTAATATGAATCTAACAATGTTTCAATTATTAGTGTATTTTTTATCTAATGGATTAATGTACAAATTAGAACAAAGTTTGTTCAATTTGAAAAATAAAATTAGACCAAATCATATTAAATCAGGATTATTATTGAACATAACGTAAATGTAATAAAAGACTTATTTAATGTGGAATTTACCTTGTGGCACATTGTTTTTTCCATAGATGTCTTTAATTTGACATCATGGGTGTCTTTATCGCTAATAATAGTGTTAGTATATTATTGCATAAGGTACTTCTAGTTTTCTTTGCTTCACAAATTAGATGAAAGTTAAAAAAAACACTTAATTTTCTTATGTAGGCTCTACAGGGATTTCATTCCTATATGATTAAGAGAAATTTGTTAAATAAGATGACATATATATACATATATTTTTTTTTTTTTTGACATTATTAAGGGGACTAGTATTGGATTTGACATGCTTGAATATTAATGAAATATTTGATCATGTATTCACTTGAATATGATTCAAATGTTGATTATGAATTTACTTGAAATAATTTAAATCATACTTACCTACCATGTGACTACTAAACCGAACTAAACCAAACAAAACTACAGAGATAAAAACAACTGAACTATATAAATTATGTCCTGCTCCGTAAAATTTAAAACTTACCAAGTTACAACGAAGTTAATAAATAATTCCCAAAAGTATTATAACAATCATACATTAAAATATCTAAACTAAAGAAGTAGCACTCATGATTTCTCAATAATTTATTATATTACCAACTAATCACAAATTAGTGCACACAAATCTTGTTCCTAATCATCCTCAGCTCATCCACCACCCTCTCCCTATATAACCCTCGTCAACAGTTTTATTTCCTCCAAAACCCTTCATTCTTTCTTCCGCCCCTCCCCTATTATCTTCCCTACTACCTATTCTCAAACTCTGAAACTCCATCTCAAAAACCCAAAATCACCCTTTCTGTCTTAACAACTAATTTTTTTTTTTTTTTTTTTTTGAAGACTTCTGTCTTAACAACTCATGTTTCCAAATTTTGACATAAAACCTGCCTCTTTTTTTTTTTTTTGTTCCTTTTTTCTTTCCCTTTTTATTTTTATTTTCTTGATTTGGGAAGTGTAAAACTGATAAGAGTTTAATGCCTTTTTTTTCATTGGGATCAGCATCAACAACAGTAGCTGTAGCAGAAACCAGGTTTTACAGTTTTGGCTTTTTTATACACCAATTTTCCTCACTTTTTTATTTTCCCTAATTTCTTAATTTTTCCTAGCTACTTCAACAAAACCTGATTTTCTAGAGGGTGAAAAAAGAAAAATTGAAAAATACCCAAAATCCTTTAATCTGGATTTTCAGGGATTTAGAGACCAAATATCTAACAACCAACAAAAGCAAGAAGAAATTAGTCATGTAATTCAACAACAAAACAATTTGCAAAACACACCCTACACTACTACAAAGCAAAGGGGCAAAATGGGGCTAAAGAGTACAACAGGAGGTGAGATTGTTCAAGTTCAAGGAGGTCATATCATCCGGGCTACTGGTCGCAAAGATCGACACAGCAAGGTGTTCACTGCCAAGGGTCCTAGAGACCGTAGAGTCCGTCTTTCCGCTCACACCGCCATCCAATTCTATGATGTACAAGATAGGCTTGGCTATGACAGACCTAGCAAGGCGGTCGACTGGCTCATCAAGAAGGCGAAGGCATCCATTGATAAGCTTGACGAGTTACCACCTTGGGATCCAACAGCTGGTCCTTCCAACGGTGTTGATGTGAATGTAGGGTCTACGGATTTTACTGTGGGTGATAATTCTGGATCGTCGTCATTTTATGCTCCACAATGTGTTGATACACAATCTTTAGGAGATAGTATGAAGTCTTTTTTCCCTACTAATAATACATCTGGTGAGAATTCAATTAGTTTTCAGAATTATCAGCATGAGTTCATTGCAAGAGGTGGAAGCCAAAACAACGAAGATCTTTGTCTGTCTCTCCACACACTTCAGGATCCGGAAGGTGTTCGTAATGGCCAACATCAGCAGACACATTCGAATCACAACTCGGGTCTCTTCCAAGGGTCAGGTTCGTCTATGGGATTTGATGTTGGGACAGGTGGATGGCCAGAATCACAACAGCAACAACAAGATTTAGGCCGGTTCGCTAGGATGTTCGGTTGGCCTAGTGGTGGTAGTGCTGGTGGAGAAGGGAGGGGAGGAATGTTATTCAATCCTTCACCATTGCAGCAAGGCCCAATGACGACTTCAACCTATTCTCAGCGGGGTCCCCTTCAGTCCAGTTTCTCTTCACTAGTACGAGTTTTCGAGGATAATAACCACCAACACACCCACCACCACCACCACCACCCTCAAGATATGTCGAGCATCGGACATGGATCCGACGGATTCATGGGTTTTTACATCCCATCACAACTTCATGGTGAATTACATGGTGGTACAAATTCTATGTCTAATAATAGAGCATCCTCATCATCTTTGTCCCCTGATTCAAGCCAACATTAGTTTGGTAATTAACACGAAATATTTCACCATTTTTTTTTTTATTTAGGTTTTTCTTAATTACGCCTTTGTTTAAGATAATTCTCTAATAAATTTGATTTGTTTCGACAGATGACGACATCGAATGCCGCCAAAGGAGCTAGAGACATTCCATAAACAGCTCAAGTGCCGTGGCTTAGGAAGAGAATATCCATTTCTGATGCAACAATCATGCAAAAAATCGGCCACTTTTTATCAAATTCGATTCTCCTAATACATTGTTCAATTTCGTGCTCTTTCATTTTTGCGTGAGTATATTTTCTTGCTCAAACTTTCCTTTCAATGTTTCGTAATTTCAACTATTAGTAGCAAATTTTAACTGTTACATTGACGGGTTATAGGAGTAATTTTTGGGATTAACAATTTGCTAGTTTGAAATAAATTAACTAGGTACCTTTGCTGTAATTCGGATTATAATTAGTATAACCTTAATCATGATTAACAATCGCATTTCAACACTTAGCGTGATAATTACTACTTTATTATTCTATAATTTGTTGCAAACCTTTGATTCAGAAACAATTTGATAAGTTCATGTGCTATTAGCACAGTGTGCAATGAACTGTGATCATGTGCTAAAAAAAGGTAATTAACAGAAGGGTTTTGGTTATTTTAAGTTAAAAATAAAAGCATCTTCTTTTTTTTAATCATAATTAATGCAGTTGGATAATGTATTTTATTTGCTAATCTATTGTCTCCATTATACTGGGCGTGTCTCAAGATACCATAACCAAAAGCTATTGGTGGCTTTCTTTTGTGTCATTAATTACTCAATTTTTAATACTTATTTTCTATTATATATAATTAAATATTCACCGCAGCCGCAATTTTCCTGCAAATTGGTATATAAAGCAAATATTTATGTTAAGGTAACATTATATTGTTGTTGATGGTTGTTTTTGGTAGGCTTTAGCATGGAGTAATTAATTATTTGATTAATGAAAGGATATATACGTTTAAGGGATATTTTCTGCCGACATAATATAAAAAAAGTTATGTCTAAATTCTGTGGGCGGTAATTTTGAATTAATTAGTAGTGTAGGATTAAGAATTGTTTTAGGATATGGTTAGTTTTTGATTATCAAGGTTTCCTTTCTTGGAGCTTGGAAACCCCTAAATAGTCAATAAGTATATACTTCTAAGTCCTAACTTTGTTTTTTTAATGGTTTTAATATTGATAGGGTTATCATGATAATGTCACAATTTATGTAACAATAAGGTAAAATTATAATGTCACAATTTAGAGTAAAATGTTCAATTGATTTGTCACGCTTTTAAAATTTTGACTCTTTAGTCATTATGTGATATAAAAAAGTTCTCTTGTACTCCGTATGAGTTGTGTTACATGTTTTTAAATTCATTTTCTCACAAATTAAAATCAACAATATTGTCATTATTATGAAGAAAAATACAATCCAAATGTACATAAGAGACCACATAAAATGCAAATTGAAATATGAGTTGGGAATAAAGGATAGTTAATGGTTGAAATGTCTTATTAGATCCATCACTCTCCTTCGTTCTCAAGGTCCCCTCCTACCCTTTCTTTTTCTTTTCCTTTTTTTTTTTTCCCAAAAATCATAAAATGAACTAACGATCATCCTTTTATAGGATTGGGTACATAAATTCTCTAGCTACTTTACAATTGTTGATTTAAATTTCAAAGTGTAATTTCACAGTACAATTCAAAACAAAATTGCTCCGTATATTTATAACTTCAAATTTACTTTTAAATACGAAGTACAATTAAAGCTACTAGTAATTAGAAATGAAATGCAAAAGAAGCATTCATCTTTAATTTGGTTTCCAATAACTCAGTAAGTCAGTGCATGAATTGACCGATAAGAATTTGCAACTTTAATTTTAATTTGTATGCATGCGGTCGAATATAATGTAACGTAGGTGGTTTAGCTTTCTGTCCATTTACACAATTTGGACGTGGATGGACCAGTACTTGAGAAGGTAACCAACATATTTTCTCACCTACCTCGATTTCAAAGTATCAAAATACTTTTTCCGTTGGTACCAGTACCAACAAAAGCAATATTATAATATAAATATATAAGTTAAGTTAGTGTCCGTAAATTTTTTTGCTTGTATTAAGATAATGCGAATATTTATATCACAAAATTTTATATGTGGCTGGTTATACCGTATAGTCGGGGTTATTATTTTAGGGGTTACTTAATTAGGGGTTATTCGCACAGCTAGAGGTTACTCTCACACAAAAAACGCGCTAATCGACTGAGTAAATTTAGAATAAATAACCCCTGACCGACTAAATAAGTAACCCCGAAATAAATAACCCCAGCGAAAACACGCCAACCGACTAAGTAACCCAAGAATAGTAACCCTTAATCGACTGAGTAACCCTTGAATAAGTAACCCATATAAGTAACCCCGGCTACACGGTGTAGCCAGCCACACAAAAAAAAACACCATATTTAGATACAAATTTATTTTAGTGAGTATCATAATTGATGGATTATTAGAGGCATCAATAATTCAAGTAATTTATTAAAGAACTTATGGAGAACTTTTCGGTTGCATGTCAACCAGTCTCATAAGATCAAGCTAAGCTAGATTACCTTTTTATTTTTTGGGCTGAATAATGTCACCATTTAATTTTACATATTGTTGTTAATGATCAATGTAGGCATGATCGATCAAACAAGGTATAATATTTATACATCTTGTACTTATAAATAATTAAAGCATTAGCTGCCATTATCTAGATGGAAGTTAGAAATAACATAGCTAATTTAAGTTGCTACAAAAATAAAACGTAATATTGGTCTATCATCAATGCCCTAGCAAAAGTTAGTTGGTATGAATGAAAATTTCTATAATTTCAGCATGATTAGCAACATTATTTACTATTATAGGTCTATAATTGACATAATAAATTTCAATAGCACGATGTTAATAAATGACAAATAGCTAGTTTTTTGCCCGGGTAATGCCTTGATATGTATATTGAAACTGAGCTTTGATAATAAAAATAATGTGAAGAAATATAATTAAATATAGATTAAATTAGTTACATTTATTTTAGTACTTGTACTATTTAAAATATATTTTTTTTCAATCATTATTGAACATCAAAATATATATTACCCAATAACTAGTAACCTAAAATTATTAGTTTATTTCGTTCAATAAAAAATAAAATAAAATAAAAAAAAGCATAAAAAGTTCAATACATTATTTAGGATACATATTTAAAATAGCTATAGGTTGTATGTGTGATGAATTAAAAGATATGAAATTAATTTTGTTATTATAGGCTGTTAAATATATATGCATAAAATTAAACATAAATTCTTCAAGTTTCTAAATTTGATTAAATTTTTTAAAAAAAACATTATAGACATAAGATGTGTCATTGAAATATTGGTTTAAGTGGGGCGTTTGGTTCGCAGAGTGGTATGAGTTTGGCATCAGGAATGAGATTAAGGTGGTATCGGGTCGGAATTTGATACTTAATACCATGTGTTTGGTTCAATTCTAGAATGAAATCTCTCACTATTCCCTCCTTTTATTTGATTACTAAGGGAATACAATGGGCCAAATCCACCTCCCCCCAAGGTTTTTAAACCCCATACCTAATCGGTTTAATCATTTGGTTTAAAATTCATATTTTTGACAACCAAACATAGGTAGGGGTTTTAGTCATTCTAAACCCATACCTCATACCTATATTCCGTGAACCAAACGCCCCCTAAAGTATAATGAGCCTAACGTCATGAGTTTAAACATTAATACTGAAAATTGTTAATTTTTGTTCAATGAATAACGATAATATGACATAGAGTCGCATCATTGTTAATTGTTAATGGTAACACGTGGCACCGTATAACCACTTATAAAATAATAATGTAACCCCTATAAAACTAACCAAGTAACCTCTGTAATACTGACCGAGTAATCTCTGTAAAGCTGATGAAGTAACCCATTTAACACTGACGAAGTAAACCATATTATACTAACAAAGTAACCCCTATGATGATTGACCACACGGTGTGGCCAGCCACATATAAGAATTTGTGTATATACAAAGTATGTATTAGGTATGTAGATAGTACTACATGTAAATGTCAACTAACCAAATTGATAAGAAGTAAGAGTCAAAATTGTATGTTATACAATGAGTCAAAATTGTATGTTATACAATGAGTCAAAATCCCATGAATACTAGTACTCTCTCCGTGTTTTAATAAGTGTTACATTTTGATTTTTTTTTTACTATTTATATATTGGTTTTAACATGATTAATTTACTAATATATAATAAATAAATGTTATTGTATTATACATTGTTTGATTTGTTGTAATGTATACTATCATAATATCAATTTTCCTAAGATTTTAGGAACATATAATTAGATAAATTAGTGATCAAAATTGTATCTCGACATGCGTATTTGGTCAAAATGTAACATTTATTAAATACGGATAGAGTACTCGATCTTTAATAATCTAATCATTAAAATCCAAGAAACTACAAGCAGAGAAATTTAAAAACGAGAATGTTAGCCACACAAATGCACGAGTACATGTAGTTGCGGTGTCTGCATGGTACTGTTCAAGGTATGATACGAATGAACACATGTTTTCAATTCAATTTCAAGTCGTAAAATGCATGAATCCAACCGAATATGTACTGATTATTTCGTTGTCTGAAATCGCATTTAATGGTTTTGTGTGCGTATCCAACTTCAACAATTCATGGTCATAAATTGAAATAAGGCAGCGTTCGTAATCCAACAGTGAAGCTAACATGCATCTTGATTCATTTGTTTTTCATTCATTTTAAAATGAAAGTTATTTGCGTTTTTTTTTAAAAAAATTAACATATTCTTATATAGCAGTATAAACTAAAACATACAACTATTACAAATTTAGAATGACTAAGAGGTGGAAGCAGCATCCAATCAGTCATATATAAATATGCTAGATGTATTTGTTGGCAATTCACAAAATTGAAAAACAAATGAAATATCTCCTATCGTAACTGTTAGGAAATAAGGGTGTAATTGCGTTTAATTAATGCGAAATAAGTCAATGAAAAATAAGAACGAGAAAAGCAATAAAAAAGATAAACAAAGAACACAAGGATTTACGTGATTCGGTAAAAGTAGACCTACATCCACGGGTGAGGGATTCGAGAGCTTCTTCACTATAATAGAGAAAGAACGAGAAAATAATACAAGGAGTACTAAATCTAATGGCTCAAAAGGTATGATCTAATTAATCAACTAAAGGGTCCTTTTATAACATAAGGAAACCATAACAAAAAACCCTAAATTGTTCCCCAAATATACTCAAAACAATTAAGCTTAAAGTAGACCAAAAAAACTGAAATGTCGACTAGGCACGGGCGTGCCTCTTTTAGGCACGGGCGTGCTTCATCGAGTACCTCGTCAGCAAATTTCCAGCATCGTC